ACCCCCCCCCCCTCCCTCTAAAAGCGTTACGTAATAAGTGAATGGCCCCTTAATGGAAATGACATTGTTTGGGGTTTCGGGGTCGTTCATCTATGACGTCAATAGTTCGTTTTGAATTTTATTAGTCATTGCTTACTTTAGTAACTCTCACTATTGCTGAAATTGTAGAAATCAAGGGTTTGAACTCTTGGCAAATTTTAAAATGAGTTGAAGTCTTAGCATCCGATTTAAAACTGACCCTTATTTACAAATGACCCCGTGAGCTTTTATTAAATGAAAAGTTTCTGAGAATTAAGCATGAATGCATTTTTATTTTCCTTTTTTTAAGTAAATATGAATGAATCATAAACTTTTTTGTGGATGAATAATGATAAGGTTTTATTAAAGTTTATGACTTTAATCTGAATAACTGTTGCATCTGAACTTTAGACTTTTGACTTTATGTGACAAATTTGGGGATTTTTAATCAATTTTCACTGAAATTGAATCAAAATAGTCGTAAATTTAATTTTCTCATATTTTTCAACAAATAGTTCAGAAATTAAAACCTTAATTTATTGCACTACAATAATAAATTTCTGTAAGACTCCCGGATGAATATGTGGGACAACAGAAAATTTATATCTTACAATATTGTTGCGTGACAAAAATAATTTAACATAAGAACCAAAAATGAGAAGAATTTTAATCTGGATGAAATTTGCCTTCTAGTTAAATCTGGGAAATGTGGGGCAAATGTTTTTAATTAAATTGGGATATGGGTCTATAAAGCATTTGCTGAATCATCGTTCAATATTCTTTGGGTCATTTATATGCAGCAATACTTTTGTGGTATGTCATTACTTAAAAAAGAAGAAGAAGAATTAAGAATTTACCGCTTGAATGAATTTTGCACATTAAAAGTGGGACAGTGGTCTGTTACCTTTATCATTTTCATTTTGGCACATAACCTTGGGTTTACTTAACATTTGACAGCTAAAGCCTCGATTTTTTTTTGTGATATCTGACAAAACCACTAAAAGCTTTGCCACACTTAAGCTGTGATGGTCGTGATGTTGTTTTTTGTGGATTGTAGTTACTTTTGAGTGACTATCTGGTTGATATGCTACAAAGCAGTGCTGTCCAAACTTTTTGAGCCACGGCACCCCTTTGGGGTAAGCCATGACCAAAGTCCTACACAGCATACGATTTGCGTTATTTCCAAAAAAAAAATCCTATGGCACACCAGTGTGCCGTGGCACGCAGATTGGACAACACTGCCATAAAGTGTGTAGATTTTAGAGCTTTTTAGAAAAGTCTTAACGTTCTCGAACAACAGACTGTGGCTGGTACCTTTGGAGTACCCCAACATCTCTAATGGAACCTTATGCTTGTCATCAAAAAACCGCACAAGCTCACAATCTTGAAAAAAATAAATAAAAAAAAAAATTCCATTAGCATTGCAAGATTCAGAAAATAATAGCTTGTCACAGCTGTAATATTCACACATCGTATTTAATTTAAAATAATTAAATTGTCATCGTTATCAAAGATTTTATTTTAGTAGGAAGTAAGCGATGACATTGCCCTCAATATTTAATAGTATTCGACATCATCAAAATGCGCTATAGAAGCACTAACTTAAAGTAAAATTCAATTTAAATCGCCAGTCGAGGATGTAAAATAAAATATTTTATTGCATCAATCTGCAGCCCCTCCAGTATAAACATATATGGTAATCATAGAGTAGTGTAATTGAAAGAAATATTGCATCAATTATTTGATAATTGCAAACTAGTTGATTCGATAATATTTCATACGTGAGGCAAAACAGCAATTTACGATTGGCAGTTTTTTGAAAGTGTAAATCTGCGTTTTTTGTGATTGAGTTGGAGATTTATATCCACAACAAATGAATGAAAAGAAATTGAAATGTCTTTATTATATCAACAAAACGACGTCATGCGTGGAATCAAATTTGACTGAAATTGTCGCAGTATTGTGAGGAGCAAAAAATATTGTAAATTGTAATAAATGAAGGCACATGCTGAGACCTATATTGATAGAATAAATATAAATTTATTTTATTCACAACAATTCATTAAAGTCGATTTAAATATTCCTTTGTCAATTGAGGAATAATAGAAACATGTTCCTGTATGATCAATAAATGCAAAAAAAAACTCAATTAATGATGAATGAAAGGAAAAACTTTCTAGAAATGACTAAATTTGCTCTCGCAGTATCAATGCTTATTCGAGTTGTATGAATACATTTCTTACGTTATTTGCAAGCATTTGCCGGTATCAATCAGATTTTCATCTCTTCTTTCTGCGAACTAGACAGAGTTGGTGATTCGAGGCTCAACATTGAGATTTCATTTTAGGCTTCTTAAAATATTAATGATTTAATTTGGTCACCAAGATTGAATTGATTCCCTTAAAAATTTAAATCTCCTTAACGAGTGATTGTTTCTTTATTTGACAATCTTTTTGGATTTGGGTAACCTTGATTGTTCGTTAATAAAAACTCAGATATATAGCCCTAAATACCTTTACCAAGGACCAATTAAAAACATATTTTAAAAATCCGAAACAAAAATTTACGATCGAGTTTTTGAAGCAGAACACATTAATGACGAAAAAGAAGACAATGGGAGCTATAAAAATAGCAATCATACATGATTATTGTTATTGATAAGTTCACAGGCATGAAGAAAACAAAAAATAATTTATTTTAGAACCTATTGAGTAATTCTCAATCTCAAACAATCAAATAATTTGACTTCGTAGCGCAATTGGTAGAGCGTCAGACTCCAGATCTGAAGGTTGCGTGTTCAAGTCACGTCGGGGTCAATAATTCTTTTTTGGTTCTTTTTTGCATCAAAAGAGATTTAAGAATTTTTTGGTCAGTTCCAGTACTTATAATTAGAAAAAAATCTACAAATTTAAAAAATAATAAAAAAAAATTTTTGCTCCCCCAACCCTGCAATTCACTTAGAAAAGCAAACAAATAGGCAAGAAATAGTAGAAAATAAAATTGCGGTTCCAAGACACACAGCCGAAAAAGGAGAATAGAAAATGTAAAGTTTCACTGCACGCGAAATGTCGATATGGACTGTATGTACATATGTTTTTATATGTTTTACGATCTATCCGAAACCTTTCACTTATCAATCTTAATTCTTTCTACATCATCAACATCATCATTATTGTCGTGCCTTCAAAAATAAGTTTTTTTCCTTCTTTTTTCGCTGGGAATAAATAAAAAAAAATCTCTTTATGGAATTTCGCATATTCTATGCGGGACAGGGAAAAATATGCTGACATCAAACGCTAGCTAGCTCACGACTGTTGTAAAGCCATTTTGACTTGATTGCTCATTCATTCTTTATACATATTTTTTTGCATTCATCCGTCAGATAGTTTTCATTTCATTATTTTTATAAAAAAGTTTTCCATTTATAAACAGATCGAGTCATTTACTCAACATGTTAGAATGTAATGAATATTCATAAAGGAGAAATGCCGGAGAAGGGATGGGCACTTTTTTGACGAATTCTAATGCGGATTAAAATTTTGAACGGAAACTTCTGTTGAGACATGCTTAATCTGTCAAAAGCATCTGGAATTTCTTCTTTTGGGGTCGTTTAAAAATGATGTGTTTCAAGAATATACACGTAGTGTCACGTAGCTCTAGTCCAGTGTTGTCCAAACTGTGTGCCGCGGTACACTGGTGTGACATAGAATGTTTTTGGAAATGACGCGAGCTGGATGCTGTGTACGACTTTAGTCATAACTTAACTCTAAGGTGTGTCGTGACTCAAAAAGTTTGTACATCACTGCTCTAGTCTGTCCGTCATTAGCCAATATGCCCTTCATTGAAGTCGTCAAATATTTTGTCATGAACTTTTTGTAATCGATTGCTGATCACAAAAAATCGGCAGCTTTATAATCTGATTTTTTGACAAGTCTTTAATCCCGAAATATTGACAAGTCTTTGGATGAAGAAATTGAGCATTTAATTAATCAGCAAATTTTAATGGCTAATGATGTGGCTTAAATATGTCGCTTATTGATGTTTCGCAAAAATATTTTAATTATAACGGCTTTTCGATGTAGAAATTGTCTTAATTTATGCGAATTATTGAGTTCATTAGTTTCATTTATGGTCAAAGTATTTCTCAATTGAGCATAATTTGAAATCAATTGGATTCTTAAGTTTATTAATGGCTGTTGACTTTTGAGATATTTTGAGTGTTTTAATTTGAAGTTGAATTATTTGGATTTTAATTGGGGCTTAGTCAGGGGTTTAGTGGTCAAATGAGGAGGGTTTAAGGTGGTGTCGCATCATCATAAGGTTCCCGCATTTATAGATAAAATTGCTCAACTCTATGGCTAGTCAAAATAATCCAATCTAGATCCTATAAAGATAATTTGAAGAATTTCCAGACCAAACAACACCGTCGCCAAATCCCTGAAAGGAAATTACCTTTTATTATAATTTTATGCATCCATTGAAGATGCAAATTACTGAATTAATTTTCCCAAAGATGCACTCACAAATAAATCATTCTTAAATGAGATTTAACACAGAAAAAGTCCTAATAAAACGCCCACAATGATCATAATATGGTCATTCAATTGATGCCCACATAGCCTTAAGAGTCAAAATATTGTCGTTTGTTGTGACGAGAGAAGAATAGAGCTTGCTGCAACAATGTATGAGGTGTTTGTGATACATTTTTATGATTATTGGCTATTTGTAGGAGAAATTTTTGATTAATGATGCTTGTGACTTTTTCTTTTGTGAGTTATTGAGGAGAAATTGAGGCATTAAAGTGAGTTGGAATTAGGAATGTCAAGTTAATGTTATTTAAGCTACGATAATTATTATTGAGGTTTAAGAAGCCATTAGAACTAATTGACAATTGGCTCTTGGTTGGTAAACGGAGTTATTTGATAAAAAATTGTGGGTTCGAATCTCAAACCGATTCAAAATCAACATCAAATCCTAATAATTCACACAAAACATATAAGCAGTAAATCCAGCGAATCCCACATCTTTCCATCCACAATCTCATCAAGAAAATCAAAATCACGAATGACTGAACATATTAAACGTTTATATTCCATTCCTTGATCAATTATAATTTCTTCTGTAGATAGAATGAAATGAGTACAATTTGACCTTTTTCTTCATCTTTGATTGATGGTCATCAATTACGGTTGGTTCTCTCTTTCCATCTCTTCTCTTTTGAACAAATTAGATTAATAATTCTTGTCTTCTTATAATTTCTTTTAACCTTCTTTGTTCTCGACTCTTTGAGTCAAAGACATGGAATTAAATGATTTTGTGTTTAACATTCGCGAGTTGAAATTAATTTTCTGAACCTTTCTTCATTACCTTCTTCTTATACCAGCAATTTTTAACAATTTTTCATAATGTTGTCATCGTTGGCCACAAAACATGTTAAAATTCAAAAATATCAAAAAGAAATGCTCGAGACAAATTAGTCAGTAACTCAGCTAATTGATGAATCATACATTCGTCACTTCATTCATGCCTTTGTATATCGGATATTCATTTAAGCTACAATTTCTTTCATTACAAGTCTGAGAATGCCTTTTCCTTCTATTTATATGGAAATGCGGGAAACTAATGTGAATGATTACAAATCGACAAAGAGTCGAGCAACGACAGCAGCAAACAAAAACAACAACAAAGCAAAGTGTGGAGTGGAAAATAATCTTAACTAATTTACATACCAACGTTCAATGCAGTGAAGAAATGAGACGAGATAACGTGGTTAAAAGTGACAGTTGGAGTGGTCGCAGGTCTATTTGTGTTTGAGAGTTTAATTTACGATATTTAGTGGGAGATTGAGCTAATGATGTTGATTTGTCTGCTTGTCAGAGTTCAATTTTTGCAAAATTCAGTGCTGTCAAGTCAAACTCAGCTCAACAGATTCTAATTCAGCTTGGTTGACTCTAATTCAGCTCGACTTATTAAAATTCAGCTCAATTGAGATTAAATTAGTCAAATTCAGCTCAATTGAGATTAACTTAGTCAAATTCAGCTCAATTCAGCAAAGCTGAAAATTAAGTTGAATTTCAATCAAATTTAAATCAGCTATGCAACCTTATTGCAATATTTCCATGCACGAGATCATTAAACGTTCTAATTTCCTCTTAGCTGATAACAGCCATCTACAGAAATGCTTCATAATCGCACTTGATTTACAAGAACATTTCCTACCACTTCACATTTTTTTCTGCCCCGTTGAAGTGCTAAGTGATTTAATAGTGAAATTATAATACTTTATACTTTTGCTTTTTTTTTTATCAAAATGTCTGTTAATAGTAATAATAATGCTATTGCCATAGAGTATTTTATTAAAGCACAGAGTGTGGCGATGTAAAGAAAAGAAAAGATAGATAGATAGAGAAATGCGGTAGTTGAGGTCTTAAACTTGTGGATAGTGAGGTGAAGTGACTTATCTATCACTAAATATAAATAAAAGTAGTGAAAAGTCTCGACACACATATTTTATCTTTTTTCTTTTAAAAAACTTTTAGTTTCATTTTATAAATTATTTTTTATTTTTTTGCATAAGAAAAGAAATAATCGTAAATTTCTCAATTACATAAATCACAAAGAAATGCCACCTGAAACAGTGGTGTATCTCAAGTCACCCTGCTTCCTCATTCAGCTCCCACAGTCAATAATTCTTGGATAGCTATGTAGCTTCTTAATATACCCCTGCCTCCTGAAAATATGCTGTGTGCGCGTAATAATTTTATTTTTAGATAAAAAGGAGATAAAAACAGTGAAAGATGTTTTCATGCCGGCCAACAATTGCAATGGAAATGTGCAATAAAGTTGCACTTAATTGCTAGACTATTAACATCTTTTACTGCTCATATCCTCCAGCCAACAAGCATCCAATCTGATTATATTTTCAATGTTTCACGATCTATTTTAAAAGAGATCGAATTTTCATGGCTGGCTGGCTGATTGAACAGTCACAAAAGAATTTACAATAGTTTTTATGTCGCCCGTAGGATATTAGTCAATTATTTTGATGAATGTCGATAAATTCCATGTAGTTTTGTTGTTTTGATGTTTTGTTCACTACTACTAAGCATACACACATGATCCGCGACTTAAAGAAGAAAATAATGCAAAGAAAATGAGATAAAAAAACTATTTAATTATCGACTGACGTTGAGCGATCGCGCCATAAGCGAAAAATTGATTTGCACAAGACTCTCGTCGCCAAGCCTGCATGTCATGTGCATTGAGTTTAAACTTCTATCTAATCTATCTATATACACAATAATACATACAATAATAATGCATATAAACATGAGATATAGATGCTCTTAGTCGACAAGCGTAAACTTTGATCAATTTGTTGTAAAGTGCATGCTTAATCGTTTAAGACAGCTTCAAGGATATACTTGAATGAAAAAGAAAACAAAGAAAAGTGGTTTGGAGCTTCTAATTTTGATGCTGTAACTGGAATGTAATAAACTTCACCGTTATGTCTATTGAAAGTAAACAGATGAAAGTAATAATTTTCAGGTTAACTTTTGTGTAGAAGTAATTCATAAAGACAAGATTCAAGTTTTGGATTCAAACTTCTATCCTCAATCAAGAAATCCATAAAATTATTTAACATCTTTAGCATGAAGTCACATATTCCATGTTTAAACACCACTAAAAATCTAATAATGGATTTACAATCCAAATGATAAATGAGGCATGAAATTATTGTTGTTGCCGCTGTAGTGCAACATAGATTTATTTTTAAAAATGTTTATTTGTGAACATAAAAAGTTTACATGTGATTTTATTTTTTTAAGACTAAAGCGCATTTCAATTATTTATTTAGCAAGTATATCCATCTTCACAGGTTTCCAGCTGAAGATTGAATCTGGTTGTTCCAAAGCATTCATAAATATTTCCAACCATCACGTCATTAGAGACATAACAATAAACAAAACTTATACATCCTGTTGAGTATGCAAAGTATCCAGGAGATTGAGTAGCACACAGTTGCAAACTAGATCTCAACGTGAGCAGACGTGTTTACAAATCGCTCCGCAAATTATTCAAAAAATCTCAAAAGAAACAAAACAGAGACTACCTGAGAAGCTTTTTGTTTGCAAAAAGTTTCAAAATCTCAGTTTGATTCTCAAAACATCAAAATGGTAGCATCACCAAAAACTACCAACAACGAAGAAAATCTTTCTCAAAATCAGCATGGACTTAATAGTTCTCAACAACAACATTCATCTTCAGTGACAATTCTCAATATTGAGGAAATTTTCAGTGAAGATGTTTCACAAGCAGCCGACATTGAGATGACAAATCTCAAACCAAAAAAACAAATATCAATAAAAAAGTTTCTCAATGAAGCAAGTAAAGCAGAAAAACGCCCTCGAGAAGTGATAGTTCCCAACGCTCTTTTAAAAAGAGTAGCAAACGAAAGCAAACCAAAAGATGGGAACAAAGCACTGTTCGTACTCCCACCAGTGAAGAAAGCTTCGTCTTCTGGAGTACCGTATCTATTTGGTTCACCAGAACAGGAGAAAAAAAGATCGACAACTTCTTCGTACTGGGGAGAAAACAGCAAAACATCAGAGCAACAAAAGACAATTTCCGTAAACACGGAAAGCAACAACAACAAATCTCAACAAAAATCAAAACCACCTCCAATTGTCATCAGCACAGGAGGAGCTGGTGAAATCAAGAGATTGACGAATGAAATAAACAATCAACCTGGAAGTTTCTTAATTGAGACCAAAAAGGGCAAACAAGGAACAAAAACGGTAACAACGGAGAGTTGGGATTACTACGAGAAATTCATCCAACTACTCAAAGACAAAAAGCATCACTTCCACACATACTCCAGCCAAGAACCACTGAAGAAGTACGTACTCTATGGACTTCCAGATATGGAAATCAGTGAGTTGGAGAAGGAACTTCAAACCGTAAAAATCACACCAGTAAAAATTGTCAAAATGACAATGAAACACAAAAGACACGAACAAGACGACGACCAGAACTACCTCGTGTACTTCAAAAAAGATGTAGAACAAGGTGGAAATTTCCTGGAATTCCTCAGAAAAATCAAAATTGTCAGCAGTTTCAAAATTAAATGGGCTGACTACAAAAATAGACAAGCTGGACCATCTCAATGTTCGAAATGTCTGCAGTTTGGTCATGGACAAAACGGTTGTAACAAACCGGCCGTTTGCTTCAGATGCTCTGAGCAACATGACTCGAAAACGTGCCAGTACATATCGAAAGAGACCAACAAGGTTCCACTCGGAAAACTCAAATGTTTCTTCTGCGGTGAAAAACATACAGCAATTTTCACAGGTTGTAAAACCAGACAAGAAATAATTGAAAAATGGAAATCAAAATCACAGAATGGAAACAACCAAAATCAAAACAAAACAGCAGGCCATTATTCATATGGACAACGGAGAAACAATCCTCCAACACCGCATCGTCCTGAGAGATCAACCAGAAACGTCCAACATGCACCAAAACCTCAATGGAGAAAGGAGTATATGGAACCATCAACATCTGGTACACAAAAGCCTGTTCATCAAAAACAAGTTCCAGTCAACCACAAACCAAGGAACACAAATCCTCCTCCAAATCACAAACCCTCAAATCAGGGAAATAAAAATAACTTGAACAACCAACAAAACAATAAAGAAAGAGGAAAACATTGGAAAAAGAATCAAAGAAAAAAGCAAAACGAGCGCATTAATAACAATCAACATCAAAAACCAAAGCAAGATGTTGAGCTTATGGACTCAGAAGACATCAGTGCAACAAGTCAGACCTCGAATGAAGTCTTCCCAGAACCTTCATTCAGTGTTGAGGTAGTGAATCGAAACATAACAACTAATCAACAAGCTCAAAGCACCAGCACAAGAGATAAAAACATCTCAGAAATAGAGGAATCAAAGTGCAAGTACCTTATCAGCGAGCTTCTCAAATTAATCGCCAAAAATCCAGAGTTCATCGACGAAATACTCCAAGCAATCGGCTCAAGTGCCAAAAACACCGCATACAATAATGGATTGTAGACAACAAAGTATCAACGTCCTCTACTGGAATGCTAACGGCCTCACTGACAAAATGTTAGCATTTCTCGACTACCTAAGCAAGCAAAACGTCGATGTTGCTTGCATCTCAGAAACATTCCTAAAACCAAACTCAAAAATTGACTCGCATCCAGACTACGTAATTCATCGATTGGATCGCGTGGATAGACCAAAGGGTGGTGTTGCAATCATCGTCAAAAGAAATCTAAAACATCAGCTTCAACCAAGCTACAACACAAAACTAATGGAATGCATTGGAATCAAAGTCTTCATCAATGACACGGATAGTTGTCACATCCTCTCAGTCTATCTCCCAGGAGGAAGCAAAGGAGGGGAAATAGATCTACATCTGAGAGATGACATCAACAAAATAACAAATCTGAGAGGAAATTACTACATCTGTGGAGACTTCAATGCAAAACATCGAGAATGGAACTGCAATGTTGCAAATAAATCAGGAAATATTCTTCAGGAAATGTCAGGAGAGTTCATGATCTACTTTCCTGACTCGCCAACGTACTACCCAGAAGATCGAAACAAATCAGTGTCAACAATTGACCTGATGCTCTCGAATTCCAACCTCGAAACAACAGAACTTCAATGCACAGAGGCAATGAGTGATCACTGCGCTGTGTATTTCCAAATCAAAACATCAAAAATCGACAGAACTGAAAATACAGTCTACAGATATGACTACAAAAACGCAAACTGGAAAAAGTTCAAAGCACAAATTTCACGCCGCATTGAAGACAACATTGGAGAAAATTCTTGCAATACAACAGATGAGATCGAGAATCACATTAAGATTCTCTCTGAACTCATCATGGAAGCGAGGAACTCAAGTGTAAAAATGAAAAAGATCAAGTTCGAATCAACTAAACTCACACCGGAGATTAAAGATCTAATCAACACAAAAAGGAGTCTTCGTCGAAGATGGCAGAGAAGCAGAGATAATCAACTCAAATCTGAATTGAATTATCTGCAGAGAGTCATCAACGAGAAAATTAAAGAACTCAAAAACAAAAACTGGAATAAGCGTCTCTCAGAGATTCAACCGTCAAACCAAACAGTTTGGAGAATAGCAAAATTTTGCAAAAAAGGTTCAAAAACAATGCCTCCATTGACAAATCTGGGTAAAACGTTCATCACCAACAAAGAAAAAGCCAGCGCACTCAGCGAGTATTTTCGTGAAGCTCACGAAAATCCTCTGGAACAAAACGATCCACAACATACACAGGAAGTAAACAACACAGTCAAAGAAGCATTGGAACAAGACAATGATGCGAATCCAGAACTAACAGATGTAAACGAAATCGTGAGCATCATAAGAAATCTGAAAAATCCAAAAGCTCCGGGACTAGATGAAGTCAACAACATACTCATCAAAAATCTTCCTGAAAAAGGTTTCGAATACTTGAAATTCATCATCAATTCGTGTCTGAAACTCAACCACTTCCCCAAAGTTTGGAAACATGCAAAAGTGATTCCCATTCCAAAACCTGGAAAACCAGCAAATGAGCTAAGCAGCTACAGGCCAATAAGTCTAGTCAGCTCAATAAGCAAAATACTGGAGAGAGTATTACTGAATAGAATCAACGATCATCTTGAGGATAACAACATCATCCCAAACCAGCAGTGCGGCTTCCGGACTGGAAGATCAACATCTCACCAGCTCATCAAAGTGATCAAATCAGCAAAAGAAAACTTAAACAACAAAAAGTCAACAGGCATGATCTTCCTGGATGTAGAAAAAGCATTTGACAGAGTCTGGCATAACGGACTCTTGTACAAAATGCTCAAACTGAGATTTCCACTGCCACTTATAAAAACTGTAAGATCTTTCCTCAGTGAAAGATCTTTCGCAGTTTTTATTAAAGGTCAGTTCTCAGAAATCAAGGTAATCAAATTCGGAGTGCCACAAGGAGCAGTGCTTTCACCAACTCTCTACAACATCTTCACGTATGATGTTGTAAGAGAGACAACCAACAACATCGGTCTTTTCGCAGATGATACAGCACTGTATCATTCTGCAGAGAACTCGGCCGATATTGTGACACATCTACAGCACACAGGAAGAAAAGTTCAACAATACATGAACAAATGGAAGATCAACCTCAACAAACAGAAGACTCAAGCCTTATTCATCACAAACAGGCACTCCAGGCAACTACCAGGAAATAACATCAAATTTCTCAACGAAAACATCAAATGGGAAACAGAAGCTAAATATCTGGGAATGGTGATCGACAAGAGAGTGACATTAAAGCCGCATGTGGAGTATGTGACCAATAGGGCTCACACCGCATTAAGACAGCTTTATCCGCTCATCAGCAGGAACTCACAACTCGACGTACGAAACAAACTTCTCATCTACAAGCTAGCCATCAGACCAATATTCACATATGGTTGTCCAGCGTTTGGAAGCATGGCAAAAACCCATCTTCAAAAACTTCAAGTACTGCAAAACAAATTCTTGAGAATTGTTCTCAATAAAACAAGATATGAAAGGATCACCGATCTTCATACAGAAGCGAAAATACCGTCCATCGAAGACTACGTCGGAAAATTGCAAGCGAACTTCAACAGTCGTCTTGCATCTCAAAACACCGAATAAATCAAATGAAATACAAAAGAAAGTAAAATCCGTAAATGAAATCAAAATTAAGAGACAAAAGGCAAATTGAATGCCTGAAACCTTAAAACAAAAAGCAACAAAATGTATAGAAACTTTGTACATACTTAAATTTAAATGTAAATAAATAAAAAGTTTAAAAAAAAAAAAAAAAAAAAAAAATTGAGTAGCACAGAAAGTATTAGCATCGAAAGCAGAAGTTGCAGTCGTTGTTTCTAGAACTGTTTCTGTCGTTGTTTCTAGAACTGTTTCTGTTGTTGTTTCTAGAACTGTTTCTGTTGTTGTGTCTGGAACTGTTTCCGTTGTTGTATCTAGAACTGTTTCTGTTGTCGGATCTAGAACTGTTTCGGTTGTTGTATCTAGAATTTTTTCTGTCGTCGTGTCTAGAACTGTTTCGGTCGTTGTTTGTAGTATTGTTTCTGTTGTTGTAGGAGCAATGGTCGTTGTAGAAGTCACTGAAACTGTTGTTGTGGGAGCAACAGTCGTCGAAGTGGTTTCCGGAATACATACATATCCACTTTGACAGTATAGTAAGGCTGGATTGAACAATGTGGTTCCAACACATGTATAAACTACTCCAACCATATTTACTCCATTTAAAAAACATTTCACATACTGTGTGCAGTTTGTGGTTCCAGGATATGGATAATTACTGTTTGCCAAAGCGCTACAATATGAATTTGCATTGAATGCTGCAACTGTTGTTGTAGGAGCAACAGTTGCCGTTGAAGTCACAGAAACTGTTGTTGTGGGAGCAACGGTCGTTGTCGCAGTTGCTGCAGCTGTTGTTGTGGGAGCAACAGTCGTCGAAGTGGTTGTCGGAATACATACATATCCACTTTGGCAGTATAAAAGGTCTGGATTGAACAATGTGGTTCCAACACACGTATAAACTACTCCAACCATACTTACTCCATTTGAAAAACATTTTACGTACTGTGTGCAGTTTGTGGTTCCTGGATATGGATAATTACTGTTTGCCAAAGCGCTACAATATGAATTTGCATTGAATGCTGCAACTGTTGTTGTAGGAGCAACAGTTGTCTTTGAAGTCACAGAAACTGTTGTTGTGGGAGCAACGGTCGTTGTCGCAGTTGCTGCAGCTGTTGTTGTGGGAGCAACAGTCGTCGAAGTGGTTGTCGGAATACATACATATCCACTTTGGCAGTATAAAAGATCTGGATTGAACAATGTGGTTCCAACACACGTATAAACTACTCCAACCATACTTACTCCATTTGAAAAACATTTTACATACTGTGTGCAGTTTGTGGTTCCTGGATATGGATAATTACTGTTTGCCAAAGCGCTACAATATGAATTTGCATTGAATGCTGCAACTGTTGTTGTAGGAGCAACAGTTGTCGTTGAAGTCACAGAAACTGTTGTTGTGGGAGCAACGGTCGTTGTCGCAGTTGCTGCAACTGTTGTTGTAGGAGCAACAGTTGTCGAAGTCACAGAAACTGTTGTCGTGGGAAGAACGGTCGTCGAAGTGGTTGCCGGAATACATACATATCCACTTTGGCAGTATAAAAGGTCTGGATTGAACAATGTGGTTCCTACACACGTATAAACTACTCCAACCATACTTACTCCATTTGAAAAACATTTTATATACTGCGTGCAGTTTGTAGTTCCTGGATAAGGATAATAACTGTTTGCCAAAGTGCTACAATATGAATTAACATCAAATGTTTGGGAGTAAGTTGAACTTATTAGAATGAAAATTGTAATAATTTTGAAATTCTTCATTTCGTCTATTTAAAAGAAATTTTGGAAGTGGCTGAGTAAAGCACAAAACAGCTTCTTTTTGATACCAAAGATAAAGCGATGAGCTATCTTAGACAAACAGAAAAATTCGCGAAAAAAGGTAATAAATTGAATGAGATGATTTGGATACAGAGTTGTTTTTCTGGTGAATATTGGAAGTCCAATAAATTTGTCAATTTTAAGAATCAAGCTTAAAATGACTTTAATCACGAATACTGTAAATGTCAAGGCCAAGAAAGGTCGAATTTATTTCACATGAATATAAAAATTTAGATCAAACATGTGACTTTATCTTTTGCTTATCTTCAGCGTCATTATTTATTCATTTTATTGCTAATTCTATTTAAAAACCTTTTGGTGTTCAAGACAGAGGAAAAGATTTTTTTTTTATTTTTTTTTATTGAGGATATAAAAGCAGATAAATATCCCTAGATTTTTATTTGCTCTGATTATGGACATGTGAATCCATCGACACAGTACCTTGATGTAGGATTAAATGCCGTAGTTCCAAGACATGTGAGCACTGAACCAAGCATAGTAATGCCATCATAAAAGTAACAATTGATATATTTAACACATCCAGTTGGATAAGGATAATATCCTCGATTTTGAGTAGAGCAAAAGGCTGTGGCATTGAACGGTGGTGGATTTTTTGTCGTTGTTGACATTGTCATGGTGATGCTGGTCGTACTAGTCGTGGTAGATTGTGTCGTTGATGTTGTTGTAGACGGTGGTATACAAGTATATGCATCCTGACAATATGAAGCTATTGGATTAAATAATGTTGTTCCTGGACACTTGTATACCCAACCTAATATTCTAGTTCCATCATATGAATAACACTTTACGTATTGAGAACAATTGTAGCTGTTTTCATATGGATATAATCCATTTCCATTGATACTAGTGCAGAAAGCTGTTGCATTGAAGGACTGAGCTGAATTTGAATCAATAGAAGTAAAAACTATTAGGAACAGCAGAAAATACATTTTGATGAACTTGTTCAGTTAATTTTTGATTTACAAATGACTTAATTAGATCTAGTTTCAAGATCCTTTTATAGTTTTGTGATAAAATGTAGTTTTTACGCAAATATTTTTTTAAAGTTTATCATGTCACTTCTATCTCGACAACCATCCATGAAGTGTCAGTCATGTGTAACTGATAAGGGTTGGTTTACCTTCAAGCCCTACAATTTAATTGCAAGCAAGGTTCCTTTAAACCTTTAAAATGACAAACTGTTGCCACCAACTTTTAAAGTCTCCCGGAAAAATGCTCAAACAAAACTTTCCTCTCGATTTATGTTCAAATCATGGCAATATATTTTTATAGGACAGTTACAACTAAATTTTTATGAGATTTTCCAATATACCTACGTGCAACATGCAGCGGCATGCCATGATCTATAATTAATATGAGATGCAGTAAATGACGCTATCAATGAAATGTGATGTTTATTTTTCGAAATACTTTTTTGTCACCTACGCGAGACATGACTTTCTTATAATTTTTGGTTCCCCTTGTTATTATTTTTGTGAATAACAGAAACAAAAAGATGGATATGTGGAGATATATTTTAAGGTTTTAGTACCGTCATTCTTTGTTGGCATTAATGAATTGAATTATAATTCAGACAAGAGCATAAACCTTTCTGGTTATATATTTTTGTTTTGTTTTGTGAAAGATCTGAAGAGATCTCATCTCGCCTCGTCTCCATACCGTACAGCATACAGCATGTATGACTCCACTGAACATTATGCAATACAAATTTTATTTATTTTCAAGTGGTGATGCTCAATTTCAGTTGTACGTCGGCATCATCATGATCGTCATCGTCAAGATAGAAGGAATACAAAGCAAAACAAAACAGAGAAGAAAGAAAAATATAAAATTGGAATTTCTTTAAAGCCCACGAAGAATGCAGTTATGCTGTCATATATAACTCAATTCAATTGTGCCAACAGAGAAGCTATGGCTCACTTTAAATTGGGCTCGGTTTGCCTAGATATTTATTGAATAATAATAACATTATGAGATGATGATGACAATTGAATCAACGGTAAATTGGTAAGATCGCCCTTCTTACGTGACGATTATCATCATGACAAATGAAAATGTTTTTCATTCACTCAACAATATTTTTTAATTTCATCATCTTTTGCATAATGCATCGTTTTTATGGCATGACAAGCCACATAACTTGAGGATCAAATAGCAGAGAATTAATTTATTTATGTATAAAAGCCGTTTAATGAGTGTCTCGTTGACATAATTATAGTTTGGATCGATGGGGATTTAAGTATGTCTGTGAGCTAATAAAATATGTGGGAATTTAATGATAGAGATTGTACTTGATCTTATGAGATATACTTGAACCTACTTGAAGAGAAATTTTTTTGGAAATTTTCAATTAAAATTTTCTCAGAAAAAAAACTAGAGAGCTATAAGTTGATTCTAATGGAGAGGGTTCGTTCAAAAATGACGGCTATCATTCTTTAAAGTATGTGCTTCTGATAATTGGATTTCCAGAAAACTTAATCTTGCACAAGCAGACTCAGGACGTGCAGTTTAAAATCCTAAATTCCACTCCTTCCTTACACATCAATAACTTTAGACGTCATAAATAAATACCTCCTAGATTTCATGATTTTTTGCAGATTCACAGCATATTAATTGCAAATCAATCTTGAAGTGAATATATGTGTCAATACGGCGTCAGCTGTATGTATTTCTTTCTCAATAAAACTCAATCTTGACATGAATTTCTCATGTATTTCTTTCTATTCTAAATGATTTGTTTCTAGACATGCCTTTCACTTTTATAAGTGAGATTCACTTAATCGATATGACTTGGATTTCAAATATGATTATTGTTTAATTGGCTGAATATTGTTATTGATGTTATGGATGGATAGCGTTACTAATGAATCTGTTAGATATTATTATTGATGGATTGTTTGATTTATTACAAGATATCTGTGTAAATTGTATCAATTCCATGGTGTTTATGGGTCGACATTGATGAGTGATGCTCTTTGCAATTTTAATTAAACATCATAAAAGTGATGAATGGGACTTTCCCGCTGATTTGTCATTATAATTCATTATTTGACCACAATCGACACATTTTTCCATCCATTCGTATTATTTATTCTGGAAATGGATTGTATAATGAGTAAATTTCTCTATTTACGACATTTTTTGTAAGCATTAGTAATGTTTGTGGCTGGATTATTCACTAGAAGTGTACAAATGAATGATAAATTGACAATTTTATTTCATCTTCTAAAGATCTTTTTTATGTAGGATCTTCTCTTTAAATAATCGACGTCCCATTGGTTAATTTAAGAATTCAGTGCTTGATTCAAGTTACTCTTCTTCAGGTTGATCATCTGCTTAGTTTTCTGTACAATGAACTTTAAGGTTTAAACAAGTTGTAAGCAACTGTATCTCAATTTAAAGACTCAATTCTCATAAAATCATAAATGAAAACAGTAAAACAATCGATAATTACAATAAATCCAGAACACAATACAAGGAAATTCATGAGAAAACTTCCAAACAAGATAGAAAAACTCATAAAATCTTTCAAACAAAAGCCGACGATAACTTTTCATAATTCTCTTTCCTCATTCAATTCCTATTGCATTTATAAAAGATTCTAATAATAATTTATCATTTCCGACTGCAATGAGGTCAGTGCAATATCTCTCGAGACATTAAAATTAATGCATTAAACTTAATTAAATTTTTTTTTATTATAATCTTTGTGAAATTTGCAACAAAAATGTTAACAAGACTATTTTTTATGACCTCAATGGTCCTTTCCTCGGCTTAATAATGCCTGATTAATATTCACAACTTGTTTGTATGAAAAGAATTTTCGTAATGTAGCCCACGGCTTATCACTGTCTACAACAGATCAAAACAGCAATCATAATATATCTCTACAAGGAAACTGTCATGAATATTATGAGGAAGAAAATTTACAAAGAAAAAAAAAGAACATGAATTGATAAACGTGGATTGATTGCAACTTTCTTTTTACTTTGTGGCATAAGCAACTGTGAAAATTGATTTAATGAAGGAAATTTTTTGGGTAAACAATTTCATGTTTTATGAGCTGTGGCAAGGCCGAACATATCACATGCTAAATGCTTAAATTACTTAATAATATTTTTTTGGCAATCTTTTAATTATCACCTTACTAAATGCTTTCTTGATTGCACGATGAAATGTTGCGGGTCTTTTAAATTGTCTCGACTTTTTGATTAATTATTAATGCTGATGATGATGACAAAATGCTTTCATTGGATATGCTTTTAACTTTAAATAAATATTAAATCAGGATGAATTTTAGAAATAATGATGAAACATGGATTTAAAGTCTAATCGAGGCTTATGAGTAACTAAGGGATGACACATGAAAATGGAAATGATTTTAAAAATAATCACTTAACTTAGTCAATGCCTAATCGAGGCTTAAAAACAGATTTAGGATGTAGAATTGATCATAGTGTCTGACTGTCTACTTTAAGACACTACTGCATACAAAAATGTTTGTCAAATTCAGCTGAGGCTTGATCAAGATGTAAAATTAAACCCTATCATCTTAACATTCCGATAAATCTGACACTTTCTTCCCAATTCAACAAAACATAAGGAGCCGTTCACTTATGACGTCCAGGGGGGGGGGGGGCGGGGGGGTCAGCAAGAAAAGATCAATAGACATTCCTGGAAATCTATTGTTTTTTTTTTGAAAAATGACTGTTAATTTCGGACGTCATAAATGAACGGCCCCTAAGCCTACAATAAATCAATTACCTCAATAAAACTATGACAATAGTAATTATTACCAAATGACAAATGAATTTATCTTCGATTCCAGATAAGAAATTCATTTCCCATTCTCTTTCGTCATCATTTGCATAATAATGAAAACAAAAAGAGAGACAAAAGAAGAAAGAAAATTCACTTTTTGTCGCCTTTTTGAAAGAAAATAAAAAGCTCACATAATAGTTATGTATGTGTATCGATTATTAATGAATTTTCATCATCAATTATTGTTTTTTTTTTCACACATGTCAGTGCATAATAGTAAATCATAATAGATTAAAAATTGAAAAAAAATATTAATTGACATCGATAAATGACAAAAGCAACACTAGATATGTACATGGAAATGTCTGTTGAAATTGAAATGATAAAGCGCCAATAAAACATAATGAATGAATAGGTTTTGAACAAGAGGGAGGAGGCGATGCCAAAATGAAAATAAAATGAACAGCAATTGTTATGTTTGGAAGTTGGGAATTGAAATTGTTTGGTTGAGAGAATTGAGCGTTTTAGTTGAGTTTGTTGATCGGGGATTTTTCAGATGTTACGTAACGAGCAATTAGGAAACCAAAGAGTGGCAATAAAGCTCATTTCTCGAATACATGATTCTGGAAGGACTTATTTAACTTACCTATGCTTAAACCTAGATTTTTTGATCGAGTTTATCGCTTAAGTCCCTAGTAGGAGTAGACGTTAAGGTCCAAACTCACAACACAGCCAAATCAGACACTCCTCAAAAATAAATATTAAATCATGACCAGCATGTCTGTTAATTATTATAATTTTAGCGTGTAAAGTAAAATTTCTTTTTCCCATCGACTTTTAAACATTTTCATTGTTTTCTTAAATTTTATAATTTCTCGTGTAGCAAATGTGCTGCAAATTGATACAAATGTTTTACAAACATGCTCACGAATACATTTGATAATGAAAAATAAATGAAAAAAAAGATGTGCCAACAATTATCGTTTGTTGTGTCAAAAAAACCTTTAAAAAATGTGTATAAGCGAGAAAGACCTCGAAATGAAAGTGGAAGTGATAATAATAAAAGTGAAGACCATGAAAAAAAAGTAATTAATGGGCAGCAAAACCTTCCCAATTTCAAAGAGTCATAAATAAATTTAAATGAAAGAAAGACTCTTTTTTTTTTGAATGGACTCGGTCAGAGATGCAGCGAAGAAAAATTAATGAAAATA